CCGTGAGCGTTTTTCCTGGAACTCCATCGTCAAAATGTGGTACAGTGTGTGCTGTACTCCTTCGGCAATCCCAACGATATGCACATTTGCACAATGTCGGCCATTACACCGGGGTAGATCTAGTAATTTTCGCATGTGATTAGCTTTCTTATGTTTTCTTATAACGTACAGCTAAACCATAAACCATATAAATATAACACTAGCAAATGAATCTATCGATTTTGTATAGCTTAACATATTCTAGTTATAATGTGAGTGGTAATTCAATTCCCTTAAAAACGCTGCTGATATGTTATATTATGAATTACATATACAGATAATAACATTCGATTTTATCTAAGAAGACATGAGAAAAATAGCACATAATTGATTAATATTGTTTATTTAATGAAAAAGCTTTGTTGTCATAAAAAGGTAATATATTGGCATTTTTCAGACCATCTGGGCCAACATCTTTCAGCCGAACAGCGCCGGATGGCATGACTATGTGTCCAGTTATTGTTCCAGGTAAACCGGCCGCTGATCGCTCGTTTGACTTGAATATTTTCATTTATTGTACAGAATTTCGATCGATCATTTCAGCGGAAATTTCGGATACCTGAACGAGCCGTACAAAGCCGGAAAGCCGTGCAGTGCGTGTCTAGACAGCTGCAACGACGGACTGTGCAGTAAGTCGTACCCGCTTATACGGTACCGGTAAAATTTTATTATTCACGGCAGCTGGTAATCAGATTATGTTAAAAAATAATAATTTCAACGGAAACCAAGAGTCTTGAATATAGATTGCGGTTAATGACGCAGCGAGTCTTTTGGCAGTTCAGCGTGATGATACACTGATACTCCTTCGACCTTTACAGTCAGTTCTTGTCCGCCGGCCAACCTGTACTCCAACTTCATATATATATATATATATATATACATATATATATATATATATCATATATGTGTGTGCAACATAATATATATCCGTTTTGTATACTGTAAGAATCATCAGGTAATCCACGTTTAGAAACTTACAGTAAAGGTCACATTCACGTATGTACAGTATATGTACTACGGTAAAAGCACATATTGCAATGCATAACTGTGTAATGTTTATAATTACATCGGTGACCTTTGTTATTTGCAGTCACTCGCCAGTTTTTTGCCGTCTTCTTCGTGTCCAGCCTCGCCCTGGCCTTCAAAGGGTTCACTGGGCCCGCAGCCACCCTTAAAATTCTTCGCGAAAGAGATCATATTCACTCTCTGGGATCTGGAGATTACTGTCACTGCACGTTCTGCGTCACTGATCGGTGAATTTTTGTGCACCCACTATATTGTCCACAGTCGAGCATCATTCCACTCTCGATTCAGCTGCTAATCATTGCTGTTAACCTATGCGCTACTTGTTCATGCACTTGGATAAAACGATATGTACATGGTCCAATCCCAGTGACGTTAGTTTTGTTGTCTCGTTGTACAGCCTTTATTCCAACAAAACACACATCTGCGTACACTCTCAGTAAACAGTTGCAAAACAACCTACTCTGTAGATGTGTACGAGTAGATTATGCCGTACAGTATTTGTTTCTTAATGATTCTCCATTGTAGAGGTAGGCATATTTCTTTCACAGACGTAAACAAGTACAGATTATAATCATGCAATCACCACTTGGGGAAACTTATTGTCAAGTTCATGTAAATAAACTTTATTTCTTCCTCGCGGTTAATTCTAAATTTAACGTTCAGTATTGACCACTGCCCACCGATCACCATTAATTCGCCAACAGAGGACCGTCAGCCGCTGTCATTCAATTAAAATAATATTTTCCCAGCATATTGTTGTGTACAGTATCCATGCACTATTTTAGCTGCGCACACGAAAAAGTATAATAAATCAGTATTACATCAACATGTACCTGGACGAGTCCATAAAATTCACAGTACGTAGTCCTGCACCATTTTAGCTCCACCCGCAAAGAAGTATAATAATAATCAATATTAGCTTTTCAAGAACCGATAGGGTGACTACTTGACAAATCAGTTTTCCAAATTTTTAAAGAATTGTTATAAAAATGTTTTGCTTAGTCAAACCTCAACGTCTGACTGTGAAATTTTTTTCTCTATCTTTCCTATATGTCAAGGCTTAATTGAACCCAACTTTTGGCAAGTTCTGACCGCCTCAGCTGTAATTGCTAGTACTTACGAAATGGTGCACCAAACATGGAAACGGAAAATTCAGTTTTCGTAACAATATATTTTTTTACAAAATGAAACATCTGGCAGGAAAAATAAATAAACGGAGGTCAAGATATCACGGAATAAATCGGGAGCAATTCAGGTACACATCCAGCGCCGAAAACTGGTACGCACACCGCTGCTGCGTGCGGTACCAAATGAGTGGCTGCTAACGTGGCTCTTTACTGGAGGCGGTTGTGAGCTACATACTCAAAGTTGCCCCCTTAGTATTTGAAACTGCCAAAGTTGGTTGGTAGTAGAAGGGTTAATTTACCAAGTATCCATACGACGCAATTTACCGGGGGCGACTTTAAAGAAAGCAAAGTAAACCAATAGAAGTACTGATAAATATATCTGCTGCATGTTAAGATGATGGTGATTGTGGCGCAGACGCTGGCCTTGGGTGTGCTGACGATGGTGCTGCTGACGTACGCCTTCCACACCGTCTCCAGCATGATCATTCCCAGTGCCACCGCCCTCGAGAACACCTTCAACATGACCCTGGCCATTCTCCTTCTCATCACCGGCATCGTCGAGATCGTCCAGACCGAGCAAGGCGGAAGCTACAACCAAGCTATTAAAACCATATAAATGTCACCCATATAATAGCGATAAGTGCCCAAAATACAGTGCTTGACGGCTATTTGTTTGCCGGCGCTGTATTACTTGAAGTTGCGATGCTCCAGCAGCGTTTGCGGGGCCGGTCGGACCGGGTCAGCGGTCGGCAATGCCGGCGGCCTTACCTTGCGCTGGCGTTGGTACTGCGTTATCGTTTGCTCTCCTTGCAGCATCCGCATATAGACGTGGCGCAAGAGGCGCCGGGTGTCATGACCAGTGCCGCGCCGGCACAATGCGGGACCGCCACGCCGGCTGCCTCGCTGCGCCGCTGCCTTGACGTCCGCCATGCACGTGCGCCCACCGGTGCAGTCCACTGCCAGTCCGGCTGGACGGGGCCACTCGGCGTCTCAAGATAACCGGCCGCATGCGCACAGAACAGACAAACCATGACTGATGCCGGCGACCCGGTACGGCGCGCCACACCGACACAGGTCACCGCCGAGTCCTTCTCGCGTCAGTAACCTGTTTAACACACGCGCGTACAGTACGCCAGCGGCGTAATATGCGTACGTTGCCGGCCTACATCAAAATTCAATCAACACAAGGAAAAATACAAATTCACGGGCTACAACAAACTACAGCGCGCCGCGCCACTCTACTTACGCTTTATTTGCATTTGGCATGGCTCATGCATGCCACATAGCCATCTACATTATACAGTATCCATATATTATTATAAAAATTAATATTAATCTGAATATTAGCTTGATAATTGTCTTAAATCGTGGAAGGAGTGAATTTATCATTGTGGTAGACGTAGTGTAGTGGCAATCGTTCATAGCGCAGACTTCGTCCCAAGTACACCCTATATATCGGCGTTACGTTGGAAATTACGGGGCAGGCTTGTAATCACCACAAACGTCTATCATTAATTGTTATTTAGTGTGCATCAGCGCTGGCTTATATTGTGTGAAAAGCCCATTGCCGAATAATCGAGTCACCACGATAACTGTTGTGGCTGATTTTTAAGCGCGATCATTGCGCATAGTATGTGCTATCTGTACCTTTACGACAGAAATTAAATTAGTCACCTGTACGAATACGTATACAGTATGCGTGGCCGCTTCAGCATCATTGGTAAAGAGACTGCAGCGGTAGCCATTACGCCATACCCACTATAGTCAGCAGTACATGGCGGCGTATGGTCACCGTTCTCATCCAGACGGAACTAAGCATACATGTAAAATAAGCCAGTCCGCATGCGCATGCCGATAGCTGCGTGACCTCGACATTACAGGAAGAAGCCAAGGCGAAGAAGCGAGACGAGCGCACTCGATAGAGAAAAAAATTAATGACACTACTAGCTGGAATATTATGACCCGACAGCTACGTACAACGGACACATAGCAAGTTAACAAAAACACCGACTTATCGGCCGGCATAATTCACGCAAGCGTCGCCGTAAAGATGTACGTGTTGTTGTAATTAAGGTCAATTAGGGACCGGCCGGGCTCTTGACAATGCGTCCACTTGACGCTGCTGTCAACAACAAGTACAGTTTACACTATTACGTGTGCAACTATTACGTGTGCAACGTGTGCAATGCTGGTGTTTAGATTTATGTTTACGCCAGTGACCAGTGCATTATTGTTAATGAAATTAATTTACAGTGGTGTAGTACATTCTACCGGCGAATTCGTAATCACTGCGGGCCGCAAAGAGAATAACGTAATTACGCGCTGGTTAGAGCAACGGCAATTTATAGCGCATGTTGTGATTGTTATTACAGGATGAGCGGCGATTAGGGCCTGTTCAGCTGGCGAGGTTAGCGCGAATTAGACGACAATGAAGGCCCTTAATGCGCCGCCAGCGCGGCGATCAACAGTGCCCGCCCGCGTATCGAGAGTAGTGTGCCGCGTACAGCCCTGCCGATCCGCTCAGGCTATAGATATACTGCTTAAAGAAAGTACGACAGTAAGACGTAATAATCGCCGACGAAGAGAGGGTAGAGGTGATTACGTATGCAGCATGCAACACCTTCCATTAATCCCATTGATGGGCCGATAGCTCGGTACACAGATTAGCTGCGGCATTCACCAGCGGCGCTGCCATGGCCACCGCGGCGGACACGTACGTACAACGAGCGACGTCATCGCCGGCCGCCTCCTATCCGGCGTATATAAGCCAACCCGCGGTCCGCCGATCGTCCCGCATTTTCACGCTCCGCCGTTAAGATAGATGCCTTGTTAGTCAGCATCAATTACTGCCTACTTCCGCATCAGCCTCTTCACTGATATTCGCGTATGATTATTATGGAGAAGGATTACCGCATCATCTAATTTTTAGCGGCTCCCCTGGAATACTGACCATCGACATCTTTTGCGTGGCCTGTGCAGCAGTACTCCGTGACCGTTGTCCCATCTATCTGGCAGTTCCGGTATGTAGTCCCAATGTAAATTGGGTTTTTGGGGAATTGTGAGCTCGGCTGTATAAGTGAACTGGTACACTTCGTCTAGGGTTGTAAAATTCGGGGTTTAGCTAGTTCTAATGTTTTTTTTCTCGAGCAGCGTTTTAGTCTAGCTGTTGTTAAAGGAACTGCTATGAGTGTTATGAGTGTTCTACCTTTTAACGCAAGAGAAAATAGAGGCTTTGATTGATTTTTTAACGCTTAAATTTTAACTATCAAGTAGTGTACCAGTACTTACTTGCTTATAAGTAATAACGCGTACAATTCCCGGTAGAGTCGGATTATTTACCGGGTATGCCCTGCATTTCGCGATGATCAGTGAATATTTATTGAATTTTAACTGTAGACTTTCGACACAGCCTTCATCTGATCCGCGGATCGCCAACTGGTGTAGCCGCAACAGCGCCAGATTGCCTTCTATTATTTGTTGGCGTCGACGGACCTTCGTGACTGTCCCGTGTGCAGAATGCCCAGCAGGAGGAGTCCGCTCTCGTCCTCGTCCGTGTCGGCGCGCCGACGGCTGCCGGCCTTCCTTGCCCCTTTCCTCAGCAATCGCCGGAGCGCCGCGCTCCTTGCTATTCTCCTTCAGGTACACGATCAACACACTGACAGAAACCTAATCTTCAGTACTTCCTGATTAATTATGAAGCTGTTGTAGCCGCTGGAATTATGAATCAAAATAAATGTACTAGTATATAAATCTAACGTATAGAGAGCCGGTGCAGCGTCGTCTTCTTCCTGCTGAAGCGATTGGGCCGGGATTATTATTATTATTACTATTATTATTATTATTATTATTACGGCACGAGATAGATATAGACCGTACACAGTGGCAGCCGTTGCGATGTTAGTAATTTACTGGCGGCCATTTATTAGCGGCCTTCATCATTCGCGGAAAAATGTTATTGTGAACAAAGGTTTTGCGGGAATGATAGCGCCATATTCGGATAGAAGAGATTGCATTCTTTGAGCCCAATACTGAATAACCGCTGGGAACGGAAGCAGACCGTCGTGCCGGGATTAGTTCCACACGCTGGTCAGCGATGTCGTTCTGACTGACGCCATCGGCCACGCACGCACTATCAGACACATGTAGACGATCTGTTGACGCTTCCTCCTGATTTGCAACTAGATTGTTTGCCTCTCATCCGGCGCAGTCGAGCGCGTTAGATCATATTTGTGCCACGGGCAAAGCGCGGCGAATGCCAGCAACTTAATTCTTGCGTCGACCATAAACACCGGGGTAGCTTTTAATGAATCACTGTGTTAGAGGCGCGTAGTGCCGATTCCCGACACAAAGCTCCTTACTCATACGAGCGTTTTCTTTGAGAGTAACTTATATTTCTGAGGGAATCATTTTCCTGTCAAACGTAATTTGTATTTTCGGAAAATCTCTGGGCTGAGAATTTTTAAGGAAGGAAAATTCCGGAATTCGCGGCGCTTGACGCAATTGCGCCCGCTTGGTGCGGCAGCGTAATGCGAATTTGTTTAGACAGTTTCTGAAAACTCCCATTCTTTTCCTTTTTGATTTTCCTTACAAAAAATAACTTTTCTGCACTAATTCTTAACAAATGCTAAGTAAAAATTGCGAAGAAATCATTGCCAGTTGTAAACGTGTCGAGTGGGCAGCGCTTCGTGCAGATAGCCGTTAGCGATGGACGTATAAGGAAGCCTAAGAAAACATTAGAAAACTGGTCAGTGCGATGCGCAGTACAAGGACTGGCGTTGCGGCCGGTTGCCGCCGTAAGGGGTTCCTTGTTAATTTCCCGGCGAAGCGGAACCGCCGCCGCTGACCCGCCACAACAACCATGACCTTTACCGCCTCTTCCCAGGCGGCTAAAACTACCGTCCACACAACGCCGGTTCCTCCAGCGTCTATATTAGAAAGAGGCGGAGCTTAACCGGCATAATTATAAGATGATGCGATAATCATCGTCATCTATACAGCAATCGCCGATAATTTCCTTCGACGCTGTATACGATGATGATGATCAAGAGTTAAGCGCTCTGGTATAGCCGGTCCTCAGGTAGCCTGAGAGGCGCCACTTGAGCCACTCGGATTAGCATAAACACGCTGTGTAATCAGCGGCCGGGATAGTTTATACAAAAGCAGCGTCAACATGGGGTTTAAGGTAGTTAACGCGGTCCACTAACGGCGTACTAATCCTCCGTGTTTGTCTGTCTTTTACAGATGCTCATGCCGGCACTGAGCAAGGCTGAATTCAGTAAGTAGTGTAACTTGACACCGGCTCCCAAGGTCCGCGCGCGCGGGGAATCCACACGCTTCCTTTAATACCGGCGTAACGCTATTCAGCCGCTGTACAATGCGAAAGCATAAGAAAACATAAGAAAACACAAGAAGGCGTCTGTGATCCCCCGCGCGTAATCGCCGCATTACAATGCCTACTTGAGCGTGACCTTTGGGATCTATGGTCATTGATTGAAGGCGTATTACCGCTAATCGCGTTTACGTAATAATGTGAATGGTAATTATAGTTGACAAGGTGGAATGCGAGAAGGACAAGATGCTGGTGTATATTAACGAGCGCAAAGTCCAGGAGGAATTCCCCGGGGTCACCGTGGACCGCTATACGGTTTACGTGAATAACTTTAAGGACAGCTGCAAGGATGATACCGGCGCCATCAGGTTTGTTAATAGGTGATCAGCGTTAGCATACAATATAAAATTAAGATAGTGTTTCGTTTTAGCGCAGACAAGCGGTTCTCTGTTCGAACTCAGTGCTGGCAATTTATGCACATTGAATATATGCTACATGATTGTTCGTTTACTACTCAATCAAATTTTATCTAAATTAGATAGATAGTTAGATATTAAAGTAATAGTTTATATTGCTTAAATTCGATTCATCATGACTTACTTAATTTTGTTAATTTGAATAGTAAGTAAATAAAATAATTATTTTTAATTTAAAATAATTGCTTAAAATATTTAATTAAAGATATCTAAATTAATTATTATTAAAAATAATAAAATAATTATTTTTAAAATATTTATTTTTAATAAAATAAAATATTTATTAAAAGAAATTTTTACTTGCACTAAATCTGTTTTTGTGTTACGGTGTTATTGATTTTATTATTCAAATTTCAAACCGCGAACAAATTATCCGATTCCCGCTTTTATAATTTTACGTTGCAAGCCGATCAATAATAATAATTTTTGCAGTACGAGCGGCAACCTGATGTCCAAACGCTTCGTGGTGTGGCTCAACGGGCAGTGCGGCATCGACAGCGCGTCCGACAACACGATGGGTCTGCACAAGGTGGGCGTTAGCTGCCGCTGTTGCTTAGAAACGGAACCGGCCGCCGCTTGTAACCATTGCCATATTCTAATGCATAGTCGTCTGTTAAGGAGTGGCTAGTCTACCAGACCACCATCCGGCTGGAGGCCCTCAACCCGCGCCCCACCGACGGCCGCGTCCTGGAGCAGCGCGTCAAGTGTGTCTACTCCACGTCGCATCAGGCCGTTGCCGCTTCCAACAAACTCATCGTCAACGAGTCAGTAGACACCTGTCTTCCTCATGAGAAAAAATTATTATATATGTAAAAAATATTCACGCACAAAAATTGACAAACAAATTAAATAAAATAATCAAACTAAATTACTAATTAATTAAATAATAATTAATTAAATAATTTTGTTTAATTAAATAATTAAATAACTTTAAAAATAATAATTATTTTGAAAATAATAATAATTAATTGATTAATTTTGTTTCAACGTTTAAGTTTGGAGATTATGCGTGGTAATGCTATGAGCGTATTGTGCACAGTCCCTTCTCATGTTAATTGGGACAAAGTCTTCATTTGATCATATTTGTTGAGCGAAGCTCGCCTTGCACATATTGAGAAATAAAGTCACAGTCAATTAAATAATAATTTAATAGTATACAACTTAATATTCGTAAAGTGCTAATAACTATTTAAATACGCAGCTAACTATAAATATTTAAAAGAATATTGTTACTCATAAGAAAACATAACAAAATAAGCGGTGACCTTTTGCAGCGCTCCGGGCGGCAACTTTGACCGGCAGTCCGCGGTGTCCGGCGCCGGCACCGTGGAGGGCAGCGCCCCCTCCGTGGAAGACTTCATCGAGTTGTTCTTCGCCAACAGCGACCCGCAGTTCACGCCCATGACGGAGGCCACCATCGGCGACACCGTGCGCATCGTCCTGCGCATGACCACCAACGGTAGCTACACGGCCACGGCGCCGCCGCTTAAGATCCGCGCCGCGCCACACCGCACGCTGCACACCGCCATCCAGCTGGTCGCCGCGGCGGCGGGCGACGCTTCGCATGAGGCGGATGATGAGGCGCTAAACGAGATCGGCATGGCGGGGCGCAGCAAGAAAAAGCCCCGCTCCTTCCCCTTTCCCGGCAACGGCAATCCGCTGGCCATGCTGCTGATGCGCAGCGCGACGGCCGAGCCGGCGCTGCCGGTCAGCAGTGGGCTGCGGAAATGCCGGGCCAACGCATGGCTTCTGACGCAGCTGCTTGTCATGCACGCTTTTGCATGGCACACACTGGCCGCCTAATATGCTCTCGCTCGTAATGCCGGACGATTGCTTATCAAAAAAATAATACGCGCTTGCTTGCAGTGGCCTACTCCACCATGAAGCCCGAGTTCTGCATCGTCTCCAATAAACCGTACAGCAACCGCAACGAGCCGGACTTCCGCGAACTCATCCTGGTGAAAGACGGGTACGGTGACCTTTCGTTTACTTAAGCTTCATAGAAACGGAAAGCCATTAACGAAACCTGAGAAACAGTAAATGCACATAGAAACCTGAATGTTCCTAGGAACCTTAGAGAAGCTTAAGAAACCTAAGAAACCTAAGAAACCTCATAAGCTTGTCACTTACATGCTTTACTGAAAATCAGAGTACCCTTTTAAACTAAGGAGCGTATTGTACGAATACAAAAAAAAACTTAAGAAGAACCTAAGAAATCTAAGAAACTCTTAGAAAGCTAAACAGCAATAAACAAGAAAACATAAGAAAATCATAAGAAACGAGAGAAAAAACAAGCCATTTAAAGCTGAAGAGCCTGTAATTATACAGTTATATAAGGACGTTAAAAAAACCTTAGGAGAACCTTAAAAATTTGAGAAACCCTTTTAAAGCTACGCAGCAACAAATAAGAAAACCTAAGAAAACCCAAGAAAACTTAGAGACGGGTTGGCGTTTACAGGTGCAGCATCGACTCCATCCCGCCGCTGATCCCCAAGATGGTGTACCGCGCGGCGTTGTCCACCGGCGAACCGGAGATGTACTACAGCAAATTCGTCATGTTCCAAATGGGTGACTTCAATGAGCTACACGCCATGTGCAATGTCCGCCTGTGTATCACCAACGCGGAGGCCGCCTGTGACACACAATCGCCGGTATATAACCGTGACCTTTGCCTTATTATCGGCATTGGATGATTTCGTTCTGTATTGCAGCGAGGCTGTTTCGAGTCGGTCAGGAGAAAGCGTTCGGCGCCGTACGCGGAAGCTCAGAACGGCCGCATCGTTACGGTTAGCACGCACGGCTTGGCCAACGCCAACGTCACCGCGGAGAACTCGGATGTCCTGACGGTTAGCGGGAAACTCATCATCCACAATGGCGACTCCACTGGTAAATATATATACAATGTTCTGCGCACATATACAATAATCGGATATATCGAATAGTGGTGACCTTTTCTTCATAATACACTTGCTGTAAATCCTATAGAGGCATGCTTACACAATAAAACACATAAATAGTTTCAAAACTACAAATTTAAAGTCCATTGAAAGTTTAAAAAATATAACGCAAAAAATCTATACAATTGAAAAAAAAATAATAAATTTATGTATATCTATATAAATAATTTAAATATAATGTACTTTATGTACGTATATGTAAATGACATATATCTGCAAGCAAAATGTGCATATGTGTATGTAGATATATGTATGTATATGTAAATAAATGAAAGTCATAATAAATTTATTGTAGATAAATAATTTAACATAATGGATACATATGTATATGTACATATATATAGATATGACGTGTAAGTACGTATATCTATGTATATGCGCATATATGAATTTACAATATACGTATTAATTTATGATTAAGCAAAGAGAAAAAAATGTAAATAAAATTGTTGCAAAATATATAGTTTATTGTAAAAATATTGTTAAATGTATATGCAATATATGTTTATATATTATACAATCTTAATAAAAATATGTACTTAATATATTTGTTATCTGTGTAGCCAACGCAGTGCACCAGCTGAGCCAGTTCTGCTTCCCCACGATAACCTTCTCGGTGCTGGCCGCCGTGCTGGCCTGGTTCTTCGTGCTGGCCTTCATCGCCACGGTGTGTCTGGCCTATCTGCTCAAGCGGGAGAAACAGCGGACGCACTACTTCCACACCAAGTACGCCGGCTCCGACTGCTCCTAATTTCCCGCTGTCCCGGCCCGGCTGCCATGCGGTCCGGGGGCTTTTCCTCTACTTCCCACTGCCGGTGTCGACCGCGGCTGCGGTGCGGCCGCGCGACGCTGTGCAGTCCCACATAATCTCAACGATGCGGAGTATTGCAGTTTTTTGGGGGGAGCGATATGTGTGTGCTCTGGTTGTTTGATATGGCGCGTACTCGGTTCGGCTCTGTAATTTAAATTAACCTTGATCTATGTTTTCCCCTAGCGTGATTTTTATAATTGCCGTTTGTAGTCTGTTTTCTACCAAATCGGCTTGATTGTTACTGAACTCGCAGCGAATTCCTGTATTATATTATGCTTAATTAATTCAGCGCTATATTGTACTGTATATATGTTTCTTGCTTCGTGCCGGTTCGGTCCTATATTTCTTGATCTGTGGTCAGTAAATGTAAAGGAATACCATTAATTTTTATTTGTAGGAAACTGTGTATGATACTCGTTAAGAAAATGGCTAGAAATTATATTTAATAAATTAATATTATAGGCTTATATTTTTTATTTATACAATAAAACTTTGTGCAATTAAAATGTTTAAGTGATTGAACGATAAATACCTGATAAATACATCTCCACCTTTCCGTTAGAACTTACGGGACAAACTTAAAGTTGTTTGAAATTGTTATTACAAACGTTACATAACTTATTAGTAATTGAACTGTATAAATTTATTTATAAAAAATTTAAAACTTGGTGTATAAAATCATTACATGTAAGTACCTAAACCTGAAATTTATATCGTATTTATGCTAGAAACGCCTCTCGATCCTGATCCATCTGACAGCCTGTAATAATCAAATACTGCGCAGGTAAATTCCTGAAGATCTATGAAAAGGCTGCGGCGGCGGCTCACCACTGCAATTAAACGAAATTCACTCATAATTGCAGTCCGCGGGGCGACCATAAAGGTCACCGACGTCACGGCGACGTGAATAGGGGCGCAACATGACGGGCGCCGAAACGTGCAAACGGAAGCTGCAATTAAGTAGCTGGCCGCCCGCGGTTGCGGTGGCATTCCAGTACCGTGCTGTAAAAGGTAATACAGTACCTCGAATAAAAGCAATAATAATTAAAAGTAAAATAAAAAAAATTAAATAATCTAAAAATTCCAGTGGAATAAAAAATTAAAGAATTAAAAATAAACAATTTATAAATAAAAATCTAAAGTAAATTACTATTCATTAAAAATTTACAGTAATTATGTACGTGCATGTATGCTTTATCTGTGTTAGCTGACAACTTGATAAATTAATTTTAATAAATAAATTAATTTTAAATGATTTTGTACAACGTGCATATTAAGCGCATGTTAACTGATTTCCGTTAGATTTTCTTTCTGCGTGGTATTGTCTCATTGGTCTGCCATCACGCTGAAAATATAAATAAAAAAACTTGATTTACCCAAAATATAGTCTAGTAAAGTTAAGTTCATTAATTTTGTTGATTTTTATCATTTTTTTAAAACTTTGATGGACAAGAACAAACTTCGCAATGGGCCGTTGTTTAATTCGAATTTGTTATAAACTCGGTGATTGGTCCGTTTGGCAGGGCGGTACCCACATGGCTGCGATTGGCGGACAAGCCGTCGCATAACAGCATAATCACGCACAGTTGCCAGGCAAAACACACGGAAACCAGGCGTAATCAAACGAGGCTGATCACGCCACTCTCTCTGTAATGGATAAAAGTACACGGTAAACAGGACCTGAGTCACGTCAGCGTGTTTATTTAAGCGTATTTTTGCAGTCCAATATTCTCTTTCCTTCTCTCCTCACTCACACACACGATCCGCAGCCCTGCTCTCCTCCTGGACCCAGCGTGATCCAGAAGAGCTGAAGAATTGAATTCTCGTCTGGCCTTCCCGTTTTCCAGTGTACTACGTAGCCATACCAGCCTCAAGCTGAAGACCCTAAAGACATCCTCGGTGGAACGCGATGAGCATTTTGAGTCCCATAAGAATGACCAGCCAGTTGTTAATAAACGAGTCCTGTTCTTCGCCGATCATGGCTAGCCATCCGGCCAAGCTCGCCACTCGTCCCCGTGCTCGGTGAGTGCCCCGTTGGGGGAGATGTTGTCAGCGATAAATTCAGGGCAGGAGCGTGGTAGATTACGTAGTTTAGTACCGGGGGATTGCATAGACACCAGCTGATTCGCCCAGGGCATTGATTACGTGCAGAAAGGGAAAGTAGGCGCAACGGCGCGTTACTCTGTACGGGGCTGTTATTTGTGGTTGTCTAGGAACAGGGCGATAAGGCACTGCGCGATTGCGTGCTGCTGTGTTTCTGATTATTGAAAATTGGACGTTTTCCAAACGAATTGACAACAGTTTGACTGTTTTTAAAGCAAATCTATAATAACGGAAAAGTATTTTGGAGAAAGTTTTCGAATTTGTTTACGATTCGTTTCTGTCGTTGCCTTCGAAAAGATCGATTTCCAGAGTTTTTGGCAGCATGCTGTATTGCGTTGACTAGAAAAACGTAGCGCGACATGTTGGTTGATTGTAGAGTAACGATACACTTGCATTAGGTTGAACAGGGAAATCGTTTTTGAGTCTTCAGAAAAATCGATTTCTTGAGTTGTATTACGTTGCCTCGAAAAAATGTAGCGCGTGATGTCCGTTGACTGTAGGATATCGATACAGCTGCATGGGTTTGAACAGGGAATTAATCGTGCGAACCTGGCGACGTTGCAATGACATCATTATTTATGAAATCCTGGAAAGGATGGCGACAGATGCCTTATCGCGTTTGCTTATCGCTTTCTTTGATGTCGAACTGTTTTCATGAATGGGTCGGGGAATTTTCCGAGAATGTAATTTCGGCGTAGGACTGTGAGATTAGTGAGGTTATCATAAAATAGGAGTTGTTGCACACAGTTACTGAGAATGGAACAGTCTACTGACTTGCCTCAACAATTTGACAATTTTATCAAAACATTTAAACTTAGGTAAATTATTAAATTCCGAATGATCTATTAGTTAATTTTGTCATAATAAATAAAATCTTGCGGGTTGAATCGTCAGTTCCGCCTTTCTTATGATGAACAGAATATTTTTTTGAAGCATTTCTAAGAAAATTGTATTACAAATTGCTGTTTAATAATTTTGAAAATTGGTGTATGGGTTTAAATTTTAAAAAATAACTGCATTACAATTTTTTTAAAACTTGCTGTTCATATACTAATGTTATGCGGAGGGAGCATGCAGTGGGAATTGAAAAAGCAGCCGCTGAATATTCGCGTTAAAAATTCGTGCTTCAGTTATAATTTGTAATTAAATCTTTATGACACGGTAAAATCCATATTTTTGTAATTTTTCTGTTGCGTTTATTGTTAGTTTATTTTATGGATTGCTTCGGTACGGTAGGGTTAATATTCCCATTCAGTGAAAATTAATCCCATGTTTACGAGGAACTGAAAATGGGCAGCGTAATTATCCGGCAGCCATTTTGATTGATTCGATGGAGTGGCGAGAAGGAAAAGAGAGATGATGATGGTAGATAATGGATGTACAGGATTTAGCTGGGAAAACACTTCCCCTTGCCAGAAAAAATAGACTTAACCGGGATGAAACAGGGACTCCAGCACGGTGGATCGATAAGTGTATGGGCCAGTGTCGTGTTATTTCGCTACCGCGTCTAAGTGCTCAGCGGGATGATGATTCTCCTGGGCGCCAGCGCGTCCTCCGCTCCCCGCGCGCCCAACATCAGCCGTCAAGGTCAGACCTTGATCGGCATCGATCGATCGGGTTTCCCTTCGCTGCCGGGAGAGTCTAGTGAACCCGGTTACCCGGGCCGCGCGCAATTAACGTCGCGTTTGACGTCAGTGGCGCTGTGCCGTGTTTAGCCAGCATCCACACCGGCTGATTGATCCCCGACGTGTCAGGAACGCGCGGCGGAGCCGAAAACACTTAATGCGCTTACCTGTAATAGCCTGCACTTGTTCAAATTGATTTCTACCGTTTCTCACGGTAGGGAAATTTGCTGAATGGGGTGCTTTCTGAGGGGCTTTTATCGGCTGCACATATTGCGTGTTGGATAGTGTCAAGGGAATTTGGTTTTTCTTGAAGTACACTGTAAATGCAGAATTTTGTCAGCAACAGAAATAAATCCGAAAATAATTCCACGAAATATTATATTAATGATACTAGTATTTTTTCTTATGGTATTTTGTTTGTAATATTTTTCTCTTATTTTTTTGATTGGTTCATATTTGAAATTTATAAATCACAAGCCTTGTTGCAATGACTTTGAAGAAAAATACATATTTTTATTTTTTTCTTGTATTTTTATCGATTTTCTGGAATTTCGGAATATGATATATCTGTTTATGTCAAATGATATTTTCGCGGAAGTTAAATTATCAGCATCTGCAGGATAATTGAATTCCCTGAAAAATAATTCGCCGAAATGAAATCATCGGCGTCAGGATAATTTGATTCCCTGAAAAATAATTACAAGAAAAAGCGTGTTAATTTCTTAAAAGAAAAAGAAAGAAACCCGAGCAGTGCGTTTGGAATATCGCGGCTGCTTGCGCACATTGGGTTGGGGTGTTCAAGGTGAAAGAGGAGACGGTCATCTTGACACAGGGCTTCTTGTTCGAATCTATTTCCGGTTGGCCGGGAAAATGAGCCGCATTGAGAGGCATATTTCGTCGTCTCTGTAGACCGTGTAATCATGTGTGCCTGGAAGGCTTGTATGTTTAAGGTATTAGCAAAATGGAGAGAACATTTTAAAAGACTGTACAGTGTGTACAGTATGTACAGTGTCGAGCGGAAGTAGGGAGAATGTTCGGGTATCAAATAGCCGGGCCCATTATTGATTTTTCTTCGGATGGCGCGCACTGGCAGCGCCAGAGCGATTGATCAGCTGGAAGCCTCCCTGATGGGCTGTATAGTGCTTCCCAGGGCCGGGATGAAGTTGCGCTCAGTTTAGTCGGTGCGGAAGATGGCGGCGGTGCAGGTCGTGTAGTGTCCGCCGTTTGACATCGCAGAGACACAGCGGATTATTCCCGACGAGCGGGGTAGGCTTGGGTGGTTGTTTTATACCGTGATTAATTTCGTAGGGTGGTTGTTGTACCTGGGTTTTATTAGGGAAAGGTCACGGAATTATTTTACATTTTTTTTGGCAATTTTTCATTAATAATAGTGAATTTAACTGGGGATTATTTTAGGGTTTTTTTATTAGTGAGTTTATGTGTGAATTATTATTCTTTTACTGAATTAACATGTTTATTCTGTTTTTTTTTTAAATCTTTGATTATTGATGTAATTTTATTTATTTGATTATTTTAATGAAATGATTATGTTGGATGGAATTTTTTTTTTTAAATTGAATTAATGTGTGTGTGTGTAGTGCAGTGGCACCGACTGTGGATTATTCTAGGTTTGTTTTTTTAAATCTCTGTGATTATTGGTGAATTTAATGTTGGGATGAATTGAATTTATTTGTAATTGTGTCTGATGAATGGTTGTGTTGCAGATGCTACTGTGTCTGGCTGGACCGGGGACCCCAGTGGCGTTTTTGATGTGCCCTGCGCCGTTGAGCACGACATGAGCATGTCGCTGATCACCAGTCAGCTGGCGTGCACAGAAGGCAACGGCGTGGGGAAATCAAACAAACCTTCTGTCAATAAGAAAATCCAGGTAAGAAAACACTGTCACCATTCTATTTCAGATAATTATCATAATTTTATATTGTGTAAATAAATTAAATAAATTAATGTTGATATTCAGCTTCAATTAAGTAATTTTTTCTGCTATTAAAAATGTTAAAAATATCTAAATCGATTATTATAGCAATTTCCCGATGATAATTACGAGTCATTAATCTATATTGGCCTTTATTAGTGATGACATTAATTGAATAATACTGTCATTAATTTAATTATGATTATTTTTCACTGGATAAATAGTCGACAAGCAACTGGCATTAATAATCCTAACTGATAATAATACTTGAGAGAAAAATTGGCAAGTAATTCCGTCAAAAAAATTAATTCACTCGGTGTGTAATGGAATTTAAATGCTGGATTAATGCACAAAATTGCAACGAATATGTGGTCGCGTGTTAAGTGAAGTGTCTAGCGTTTTGTCCAGGGTTTGAGTGCGCATAACCACGAAGGACGCCCGGCGGCGGGGCCCGTCCCGGAGAAGAAGACTGCTGCTAATAGCGCGAGTGTGCCGGTGCACATCCACTTCAAGTACCGGCTGACCGACTCGCTGGAGGGCGTGTGGGCCACCATCCTGCACGGGCCCTCGCGCTCCCTCTACGTGCACATCCCGCCCAACACCAACGGCGAGGGCTCCAAGGACAGCTTCATCCGTCTGCTGGAGTACGCCGAGGAGGTGCTCAAGGTCACCAACGTGGTCGTCTTCTTCCAGGAGGACCGTGCCGACGCTAGTCAGTATCCCACATCTGCATTGATTATTTATTAGGACAATAAGGAATATTACGTGTTGGCAGCATTTTTTCAATGGACATTTTCTTACACTTTTTATTCCCGTTTTTCCGTGCAATTTTGCTAGGAATTTTCTCAACGATCGCAAATTTTTTGGTGATTATTATCACAGCGGTGATGCGGGGTTGCCTAATTAATTTCAATGTTATTTTTTATTTAATAAAATAATCTTGGTTAGTATTTTCTACCATTTTTGTAGTAATTCTTTTAATAATCTCCTGGTTTATGGGGAAATGTTTTGGTAACATTTTTCTGATTATTCTTCCTGTTTTTGTTTATTGGGAAATTTTTGTTTGATATTTCTGCCCATTTTGTATCAGTTCTCCTTCTTAAGTTCTTGCAATTGTTATTATTGGAGACTATTTTGGTTAATATTTCCAAAATTTTGTTACTTGTTTGATTGTTCTAATTGTTACCGTTTATTTACTATTTACTGGATAATTTTAGTTGTAAAAGTTGCCAAAATGCATACAGTACTGTACAGTCCTTTGTATGTTTAGATTGTTATTTTTTGCATAATTTTTTGGTATAATATTTTTCTTTAATATTTTGCAGGATTTTAATAATTTTTTAGCATGATGTTTAATCATTATGTATTGGGGAGTATCTGACGGTTGATGCTTTAAATAGTTTTAAAAAAAAAATAGAAAAAGCAGAAATGTAACGAGATTTTGTTGTGCAGATTCGTGGTTGCGCGCCTTTCGATTCCTGGGCTTCCAGTTGCTCCCTCCTGCGCACGCATTACGCCCGGACAATCAGGGCTTCATCTACATGAACTACCTCATCGACTGACGGGCGGCGGACCGGCTGACGGCCTGAAACCGCCGTCAAACGGTCCCTCGCACCGTGCTGACCGTCATGATCCGCATCTGTACTAATTTCCCCTTGTATTCCCTTTTATTCCCGTCATCCCGTCTGTCGAACGTCTCCGGCTTCATCCCGTCGTGGCGTCCTGCCATCCCCCTTCATTTATTCGTCATTTTTATTCGCTATTCGGAAAGTGTCCGGGAGGAAGTAATTGGAAGTTGCGTTTTCCGTTTGACAGACAATTTTACATCCATTTAACTATACATCAGCTAATTTATCCAGCTTTTATTTGAATAAATCAGTTTTTATGTCATCCGTGGTCCGTGTTCAGTCGGGACTGTTTTTTGCGTTGTATTCCTGCTTTTTTTCGATGGAGTGTAGATAGGCGTTGAACTGATCGAGCGGCTGAATTTTGTTGCGATTTTTCGGCTTTTTGGTTTGATTTTGCGCTACTGCGAAGTGTCAGCGTGGAATTACGGATTTTTTTGATTAAATGTGATGGAATGATCTGGCTGTGCACTGCTGCTTTGATTTTGCCTGCTTTTCCATGCTTTTATTATTCACGCATTTTTAACACACGCTTATGCCGATAAGAACGCTGATTTTTGTTGAAATATGTTGTAATTATTGCGAATGATGAATTTTTGGTATAATATTGTCCGGAAAAGTGGTGCGTCTGTGTGTGTGTTTAGTGCTGGTCTACAGTTGAAACAAGTAATTTTAAGAAGCTGGTTGCGTAGTTGGCTGACTAAGCACGGTATTCATTGACTGAAGACGCGGAAGTTGTTACTGTATGCCTTCGATATCTGCGGATAGATTACAATTAATTAAAGTGAGCGCGGACAAACGTCAGACGAACTTGTACGCGGTACAATACATATGTCAGATGTGCAACATAATTTTAAATAAATTTCAAGTACCATCATACAGATGATCAATGAGTATTTATGATACATTATCACAGGAAATTATTGGAATAGGAGTACTTATTAAGAGTAATAAAATAATAATAAACTTCGACGATAATACAGTCTTAATTACAATAAAGTCTTAATAACAAGTCTTAATAACTACCACATGTAGCTTACCAGGCTCTATCACCAGCTCCCCCCTCAGAAAAATCTCATCTTTTCTTCGAAGACAGAATCGCGGTATGGGGAACACTTAAAAAAAGTGAAAGTTTCGGTGCATGTACTGATGTACACGAACAGAAACTACTGCACTGCATAAAAATGGATTTTTAATGCAGAGAAATCAGTACGAAATGCGGAAACTTCAGTTTATTCTTTCCACATTACCCAACTCAGATTGTACATTACATCATGTACAGCAATACACTCTACGCCTCTACCGTAGGTTACAATGTTTACATTTAAACCTTTTTACTACAAGTATGGTTTCAAACTTTTAAGTTTTACGTACATAATTATGTCCCTTTATTGGTATATATAGCTGTTCGCAATCAAAATGGGATATAAGTGCGTATCTGACCTTTTATTGGTACATATACCTATTCACAGTATCGTATATAAGCGAGAATCTGACCTTTATTGACATATAATATACCTATTCGCAGTCAGTATCGTATAATTATTATATATTAAGTGCGTATCTGACCTTTATTTATTGGTATATACGGGCAAGCATTCCCTGTACTGGCTGCCGTAACCCGGCTGGAGTGTTACGTTACGTTACGTTACGGTAGTGCATATGGTTAAATCAGACATGCGCGGTACAGAAGCGGCATGTTTATAAGTAATTAGCCACAACGTAAAACTCCAGCCGGCTGACGGCAGCAAGTACAGGGAGTGCTGGCCTTAGCCGTTTGAATTCCCCTTATATATACCTATTTGCAGTCAGTATCTATAAGTACGTAGGTGACCTTTGTTGGTACATAATACATAAACCTTTTCGGGATCAGTATCGTATATAAGTGCGAACATGCGAGTATAATTGGATTTTTTTTTGTAACTTTGAACGGTAAATTAACAGTTTCACTAAATCATCCAATTGTTACGCACCTTCCAATCTGGATGCATTTTAATTTGCTGGGTTCAGCTAAACCAGGACAAACAAAAACGCGCGCCTAGGTACTAGACAAATCCAGCTCACTAACAGTAAGCACGATGCTGCTGTGCTACGACAAAGTAATGAAAACGATTTATTATTGTAATAACGGAACGTGAATTATTAAATCGCATCTGTTTATGGTGCGAAAAGAACAGTTAGGTATACGTACGGTGAGAGTACCAACTTGACAACTTGATGCCGCTGACGAAAACATTTGAAAAAGCACTGAATATTCATACAGCAACTTTCACCTTCATTCACTAAAGATTTATCTCTTATGTACAGATACCTGGATAACCACTAACAAAAATAGCAATGACTATTTTCCAAATGAGTCTAACTAACGCGCTCCAAAATGGTGGAAAAGTGGAAAAAATTCAGCAGACCAGACATCTACAAGGAAGTGTAAAGGAATCAAATGACCAAAAGCCCACTGCGGATAGTCTGCAAGACATCAGTCCACTTCGGCAGCCGCCAGATGCCAATCGCCATCCACATCCAGCGCGGCGAACCGCGCCAGGACGTCATCCACACGGTGACCTTTCGGCGCGAACCATCCCCGGACCTCCGTCAGGTTGAGTTGGCCGTCGTGGTTGCGGTCGATGCCGTCCAGCACCTCCTGCACCGCCACACCGGGGAGGTGGCGTCTTTTCCGCTCTCGGCATTCCCCGTTACAGGAACCGGTGCGGCAACCGCCAGCGCAGTTGCAGCCAAAGATATTGCACGCACCGTGACCGCAGTACGGTGTCCCGACGCTGCAGTCGCCGCAGCCTTTGTACCACAGCGTGATGATGGTGCCGTCCGGTTGGCATTCGCGCACGCGTTCTTCCAAACAGCACACACCGTGCACCGGTCCCGTGTGGACCGACAGGAGAAGAATCAGTGCCGAACTAGCGAAAAATACCATGGTGGAAGCACTCATGATTCGTGAAAGTATCGATTCGAAAGGAAAAGTCTTGGAGTAAATTACAAGCACGAACCATGTCAGAAATTTTATATATATTTATATGACGTACGACACAGTTTAGGTCAGAGTCCAGTGATGATCTAGGCTCCCGGTGACGCCTGCAGATTCGCCGAACTGGATCGGTCAGTTATGGTATAAAGGAGTCCAAAGATCACTGATGTTTATCGTCCTCGGCTTTAATGCCTTCGTCGTTCGGCTTAGCTACCGCGCAGTTTCCTGACGATGCTGCTGTCATCAGGCAGTGTCCGGTGCACAACAAAGAAAGCTGACTGATGCTTCTGCAAAATGTTGCGAAGCCATGGGGAAAAAATTTGGAAACATGATGCACAAAATGAAGCTTGCCTCTCGTCATTTCGGGGTGCGTCTACACAGCGTACCACCGCTGTACCAATAGCACTGCTAAATAACGTACAACGACAGCCACGTACAGTGCTGTAACGTAACATGCTATAATGTACTAAACTGTAACGTAATGTAATGTAATGTATAATGTAATGTAATGTACAGTGCAGTAATATGTTGTGCACAGCACCAGCGCCACCAGTGGACGTTGCACGGAAAATGTGGAATTTCCCGACCAGCAGAACGGACAAAGCGTACAACTTATCACGTACGCCTTGGCGCTGGCGTTCGTCAGTCCGGCGGTTCCATGATTTCCGGAATTGTGGAATTTCCGGACGGATAGCGTTTCCATACGTAGTACGGAAATTCTGTGCTGCACTGTATATAAGCGTCAACCGCACCATCTTGCTTTACAGCATTTTATTTCACATACACTGTAGTTTTTCTATATTACACGCTAGTGACCTTTGATAAAAAAATGTTCTCGTCTCTGGTAGTTGTGGGGCTGTTGGTGTCGCCGCTCTTCCGTGGCAGCCGTGCGGAATGCTGCGGTGGCAAACCGTTGGCGGTGTGTCGGATGGATGGGAAGCCGAGTTCGCTGTACACGACGATCTGCGGCGATTGCACGATCGGGACACCGTACTGCGGGCACGGGAAGTGCAACATCTTCGGCTGCAACTGCGAAGGAGGCTGCCGCACCGGACGCTGCGTCGATGGATGCTATTAATTGCCTGTGATCCATTCAGCGGAAATGGCCAGCCTGTCCGCAAGATCCACAGCCGTAAGGTGACTAATGGCGGCAGTTCTGTTGTTTAAATACCGTGTCTTTGCTATCGATGCCAGCTCGTTTTTTTCTTGTTACTTTACTCTTAATTTCCATGCGCCGTTTCTTGCCACTTTCTAGTTTGTTCATTTCGGGCCAGTTTTCGGCACTGATGGATCAGACACTGTATAACCCGAACGCAAAGTAAATTGTGGTGGACATTAAACGCTAGCGCGTTATGTTTCAATTTGATGGCAATTTATTGATGAACCAGGCCCTAATGACCTTTGCATGGGCAATCAACCTGGTAAGCGTAGTACCACAAAAGACGTCGTTTAAAAAGATGACAAATTTTTTTCCGGCTCTTTGGAGCCGGAAATAGTGTTTAAATAAAATATTGTTACGTAGTAATTCATTGGTACCACAAAAATGGCACTGTATGCAACAATCTACAGTATAGGTCATGGAATACAGCCGATGATAATAATTAATAGGCAACAGCCAGTGCACATATCGGTATGCTTTCACAGGTTTACACTAATTAAAATGAATAAAATCTAAACATTGAAAAACTCCCATAATCATTATTGTCGTTCAAGATCTTATGACGTGCACTCAAGGTGCCCAAAACAGCTGCTGCGTTTCCTCTGACAACAGCCAAACTTAATCGCTGTCTCAAAAAGGCCGTGGATCTAGGCTCTCCTGTAGCGTCAGGGATCTTCCAGCCAGCAAAACGAATCAGTTCCGCAAACGACGCTCCAAAGGTACAGCAGATTAAGCAACACTATGAATCGTCTATCGGTGTCTACAATGTATTATTTTTGATATTTTATTTTTTTGTGAGAATTTCCATTTGCATGCTCACGACTGCTGCCTATACAATAAGCATAGCGTGAATGGTTACAACTCTGTTAATACAGTAGTACCATGACTGAACATGTTCTAGAATTCCCGGAAATGGTAGCGTCACTAAAACACCAGATGGCAAACAATTTTCGCTATGCAATCGAATGTTGTGCCCACTCTGAAAGCCTACTGTTTTGATCGTAATCTAAGGTGCCTTCGCGTGCCTTTTGCCTACTCGCAAGACGAAACGTGTGGCTGTAGACGTGTACTTACGTATATTCGACATCGTACATAGGTAGTGTAAGTGCGATAAAACCCACGTTTTCCAGATTCTTAGAATCTGATATGTATTACTCCGTACCGGCTACGCCAGTGCCATCAAACCAGAAAAGATCGACCAAAACCGATATTACGAGTATATGCTCATATTCCGGCCAGACAGTATCCATTTCTCATTCTCCCTTCTCTACCACCACCAGTATACAGAGAATGACATGCAAAAAATAATATTTTATATGGACGAACATACCGGGATGTATAGTCCTATTTTTGTATAACTTTAGAAGATTAACCATTGCTACTGGCCACGAACATTTCGGTCTGGATACATTTTAATTTCGTGGGTGAATCAGGTTCAGCTGAACCAGGATGAACAAGAAAGCGCGCCTAGGTACTAGACAGATCCAGCTTACAAACAGTAAGTACAGATACGCTGCGGCTATACTAGTACCAGTAATAAGAAATAATATTGCAATAACTGACAAAATGGGAAACATTTCAAACTGTGTTTATGGTTCCAAAACAAAACAGTGATTAATATGGGAGAAAGTACGAACACAATTAATGCCTGGGTATGCACATATTATTCTCTCCGATCAGTAGTAACTTTGGTGATCACAAAATTCTGTGAAATCGATGCAGATCATGAGGACAAGGAAGCGGGGAAACATGCGTGACGGAATTTTGGTTTGCTCAGAGTGGACGAAAGGTATATATTAACAAGGACCAGTGGACGACGCCGGCCAAGCATTATCAGCCGGATCCGGGTTATCAGGATCCCGGAAATCCCGGTCGCTTTACACGGGCTTGGGGCCTTGCAGTTCTCGTTGGGATAGCGCGAAGCTGGCCAGGAAGCACACACCGGTCACCAGCGAGATGATCTACAACAGCAAGCGAACCTTTGCGCAAGAAATGAATCACCGGGATTGGAAATGTTCGTTCGTAGCTATTTAGCAGACTAGAGTCTCGTTCGTTATCGGAATTAACCAGATCAGAAGCAGCAGACCAAAAGCTGAAAACATTTTACGTACCCCGGCGGCCAGGTGCTTTCCGTACTGTTGGTCGGTAAAGAGAAAGATTTGGCGGGTCTGGCTGATCTGCCGGCAAAAAACAAGAATGTTCAGACACATTTTCTTATGTCCTTACAGTATTGCTAAGGATTTATTATATACTGATCTATTATACTGATGACCTTTAAATAATTTTGTTCTTAGGGTTTATACCTTCCACTGTTCGGTCTGGACGATCTCGACGATACCGGCGATGAGGAGTAGAATGGCCAGGGTCATGTTGAAGGTGTTCTCCAGGGCGGTGGCCTTGGGGATGATCATGCTGGAGACGGTGTGGAAGGCGTACGTCAGCAGCACCATCGTCAGCACACCCAAGGCCAGCGTCTGCGCGCACAGGAAGTATACTTCCCCCGACAGGAACATCTCGCGCGGATACGACAGGTAGTCCGTGCCGTTCAGGCCGCTGGTCAGCTGCCGGTCCTCCCGCAAACTGGCCACCAGTGCCAGCGCCACAATCACCATCATCTTAACATGGACCAATATTCATAATTTAATATTAAATTACCGTGGTTTATTTCATGCCAAACTAGTGAAACTGTGCATCGTATACCAGTGTGTACGTGCTAAATTAAATTAAATTAAACTACAGTATCTGTAATTAGGTATGCTTATTAGAGTGTGCTGGCTTATATATAGTCAGTCACATTATTATTCATAATTACATAAGTATTACCGGTAAGATGGTAACACTACAGTACTCGTATTTTAATTTGTTGATAGCGGCAGACGGTTTCCTTCTTGCGTATCACAAACTTATCCTATACCGCAGGTGGTGATCGGTGGTCATTATGCGAGAAGCTAATTATTAATAACATTTCATAAACCTATTGGCAAGATTATTCCACTTGTAGCGTTTGTACAGATTCTCGTACATATGTAGAACTACGTATCCATGCAAGTTTCTACGTAAGAAATCATTCAGTAGTGGATGCTGTACGACATAATGATGTTACGTAAGTCTGGGATGTTTTCTAAGGAATTGCGGTTTGTGTACGCTGAGACTAAGAATGCACGTGGCTGTGTGTATTGTTAGAATAAAGCTGTACAACGAGACAACAAAAATAACGTCACGGGGATTTGACCATGTACATGTAACTGCGTCGGAGTGCTTGAAACAACTAGCGCAAAGGTTAACAATAATGAAGGATAGATCTAATGGAAGAAGGTAAAGCAAAAAATTCTAACTTAATCTCTCTTTCTATGTCTGTGACTGGCGAGTAACTACTGCGGGTATATTAGCTGGCCGGAAGACAAGACTATGGATAATATGTAGTGCACGTGGTCGCTGATCGGCGACGTATGGGACGTGCAATGTCAGTAATTCCCCAAAGCCCAAGGAATGGAAGCCGAATAGAATCCCGTTCATGGAGTCTCTTAGGCCTGGTTGCGGGGCCCGGCGAACTCTTTGATGGCCAGAGCCAGGCTGGCGATGAAGAAGACGGCCAGGAAGAGGCCTAGCGACTGCAAATAACAAAGGTCACATAATATTATATATATATGGATATGCAAAATTACGGTGCAAAGCAATGTAAAAGGGTTTATGCCTAACAAGGGCCACATTCGCTCATATGTATACATATACACGTATCTGGACTTATGCACATATATACAAGAACACCAGTGTATATAAAGGGAAAGGTCACTCTCGTTTATATGTAAAATATATGTACCGGTAATACATGCTTCTGTAAATGTTTCTATAAATATGTGATCTATATAAATATGTGAGTTCTTCTATAAATATGTGATATATATGGTGCTATGACACGCTACATTTTTATATCTTATATGTACAGAGTATATCCATATACGAGTATATAAGGGGCGAAAGTAGACGCGTTCCACCGTTCCCCTGTACTGCTGCCGTCAGTCGCCTGGAGTGGCGTTACGGTAATACATGTGGTTAAATCTGGCGCGGTACATAAGCGCCATGTTCAGCCACTACGTCAAACCCAGCCGGGTGACGGCAGCAGTACAGGGGAACGGTGGAACACGTTTACTTTTGCTCCCTTATTACCATATGCATATATATGCATTTATATGATACTATATACATTTAAATGATACATATGGATGGATAATTTACTTGTATATACAAAAGTAATAATGGTCCTGTTTACGCCCATGCACGTATGCACTTTTATGTTATGTAAGCGCTAGTTTTCAATACCTTTTCCACTAAAGGTTACATTTATACGTACATACGATACGCAGTTGAAGTGATTCGCGTGTGTAAAGAAAAAAGCATCAAAGGTCACTTTGAAATATGTACATGCAATGTTACTTTTATATATGTACATGTATATATAAAGGTCACTTTTACCTATCTGCATAATTAAAGAGTAGACGGAGGTGCCCAAATATTACATCAATAAAGTTCACCATTCTACATGTTTACACGATACGTACAAGCTTGTCCGGTTTTCCTACGTAAAGGTACAGCTAGCGCGGAGTTTGCGCTTATAACGATGGCCCCTTCACTACGTTTATCAAATTTCCTACATGCAGGCAGATTGTCGCTTACTGCATTGACCATTTTCTAGCCACCTTCCACCAGGCAGTTATTATTATCCTCATACAACTGTATGGCGTGTACCAAGCCACCAGCCAGTCAAATGCAAGTTACGTGTTTAAAGAGTGTGGCGTGGCGCGCTGTACTGTGAAGTTTTTGCGTAACACGCAAATTCGTGTAAATCGCTGTATAGATTCGTCAGAAATTACCGGACAAGCTTGTACACTATATAAGCATACTATCAGTCTAATGTCTATCATGAACGTACCCCGGCGGCAATCCGGCAGCCCCAGTCGGAGTAGAGCATGGCCATGGGGTAGTTCCAGCCCTCGCGCGCCGTCAGACACAAGAGTTCAATGCCGGCGGTGATCCACATGAGGACGAAGAACAAGTTGAGGATGACCTCGAGGTAGGTGGTCTTGGGGATGAGGACGGAGGAGGTGACGGACCAGCAGAAGGTGGTCAGCTGGCCGAAGAGGTACACCAACGAGGCCGTGCACACGCACAGGAAGAACACCTCCCCCACCATGTAGAACTCAATGGGCCAGCCCACCGCCGTGGCCGCGCCCTCGCGCCGCCGCGACGCCACCAGGCCCAGCGCCACCACTGTGATGATCTGCAGCACACGGTACCATACGCCTTCATGCCGGCCGTTCAGTCTCACTAAGCACCGCCCAAGGGAGGCGGGCAGCATGTTTATATAGCGCGGCACAGACACATGGACAGAGAACAGTGAAAGCCCCACAACCAACACACATCAACAGAGCTGTTAAAGAATTAGTTGTATTGACGTTTGGTAAAGTTTATGGTGTGTTCTTAACAAGGTAGCATGATAAACACAGATATATGGCTGTTTGTTTTATTGCTGATTGCTAAAGTCAACACCACATCGCTACACGTATTTACTACATAACAACTCTATGCCGAATTGAATTTCCCGTGAAATATACGTACTACTGTCGTCTCTGTCAAACATAAGAAAAATAAGCGCTGCTATTATGTATAATGACAAAATTGTACAACAACGGACGAGGAAGGCAACGGAATTTAAGCCACGAATAAGGAAGCACTGGGCTGGCTAACTAACTACTCTACTCTGGTAATGATATACAAGAAAGCTGCTCAGATCTCTGATATACTGCACTATAGCGTTAAATCTCCTCAGGTAGTCATTTTTGCTTGAGTGGCGCTGTATATAACCGGAAGTCGAATTAGTCTAGCGTGTGCTGATGGGACTGGCGCTGATGGGGGCGCTGCGTTTGGGTCCCTGCAGCTCCTTGACGGCCAGCGCGAAGCTGATGAGGAAGAAGGTGCCGGTGAAGAGGGAGAGCGCCTGCGGAGGGGCAGTTACTATTAATTTCTTAGATTTCTTAGGTTTCGTAGAGTGGGTCTCATCTTCGAAGCGAATTTCATTCAAATAAAGCTACGGTGCTTTCCCGAACCGTAACTGTAGGCGTGGCCGCTGCATACGCCATACCAAAGCTAGATTCGCTTGGAATTGGAGACCACACCCTCAAGATTTCTTAGGTTTCTTAGATTTCTTAGAGTGGGTCTCCTCTTCGAAACGAATTTAATTCCCAATACAGATATGTGGCTTTTCGAATCATAACTGTGGGCGTGGCCACGGTATACAGCAAGCTAAATTCGCTTAAACTTCGAGACCGCACCCTCAAGATTTCTTAGGTTTCTTAGATTTCTTAGACTAACGTACCCCGGCGGCCACCCGACAGCCCCAATCCCCCTGGGCCATATCGACGCGGTTGGGCGGGAAGGCCCAGGCGTTGGGGATGGTCTCGGCCAGCTCGACGATGCCGGCGGTCCAGAACATGAGGATGAAGATGAAGTTGAAGACCACCTCGTGGATGGTGGTCTTGGGGACGATGACGGAGGAGACGATGTGCATGGCGTAGGTCAGGAGGACGGCCGTCACCCACACCAGGCCGGCGGTCTGCACGCACAGATAGAAGACCTCCCCGGTGAGGAAGTACTCGGCCAGCCAGTTCTCTACGGACGCCGTGAACATGGCGCGGTCCGGCGCGTACTGCCGGCCCTCGCGCCGCCGACTGGCCGCCAGCCCGATCGAGACGATCAGCAGCACCTACGCACCGGCCGAGCGCACTCTCAACATTCCGTTTCCAACTGCCAACCGATTACGTCACGCGTACCGGCCTCGGCGCTTACGAATATCGGCAAAAATTTTTATTTTTTTCAACCAGTTTTATATTTGTAGTATATTAACTATATTTTATATATAATATATGTAATATATATTTTTATTTTATATTTATAATTTTTTTCTAAAATAAAATGAGGTACCTTTAGCTACCATGATGCAATTTTACTAATCAATATCCGCGCAGTCAGCGCGTCATTGATCCAGCGGATCAACGTATACGCAAACAACAAAATTCCGCCAATATTCGTAAGTGCCGGTGTTCGGTGCCGCGAGTAAATGCAAGCGCATGCTAGGCAGCAATAGCGAAAGATCACCGAAAGGAAGCAGAAAGAGACTTAGGAAACAGGTACATGCACTGTTAAGTTAAAAAGCCCGGAAGTCAGAAAAGGGATTCTGTGTACATCTGTCAGATTGTTTGCTATAATTTAAATTTACGCGTGTTTCTTTACAACGTGTCTGGACTTCTGTGAATCGACTACAACCTAACATCGGCAGTAGCAAGGACTTGCCGCAAACGATTTATTTAAAAATAATTTTTTCTTGTCAGTCGGAAAAGAAACAGAAGAGAAGTAACCGCACAAATTAAAAAGGAGAAATGAAGTACTGTTTTTAGCACAGAATGGACACCAGTGAAACCAGTCAGGTAACCGCCACCGTTTAGCACACGCACCACACAAGCACAAGCCGGGCCAAGCACCGTCACTCTACGAATATTCCATCTTGCACTTCAAACTGCATTTTCGCCAAAGCGTCATCATAACCAGCACTTTGTAGCCACTACGAAAACCGCTCAACACAGCGCTTTCTCCGGTATACGCCGGATAATTGCCGGTTAAGTGCGTTACAAGAGAGGCTGCGACAGGAGAATCAAAGAAGCCCACGAAGAACACAGACTCATTTAATTAGCATTTATATATGCATCGCTTACTAAGTGCCGATGACGTTATACAACGTGTATCAGCGTTCCGCCGTGTCATGCCCTCGCTCGACGCACTTCCGGTGCGTTTTCAGCACCTTACTTAGTTCTACGTGGCATCCGGCTTTTTCCCCGATTTTTCCAAGGGGAAACGCAGGATTCCCGATTTTTCAAAGGGGAAACGCAGGATGCCTTATACCGTATACCTTGCATAACATAATGTTCAATGGCAGTTTCCAAACGACACACACGTTCGTTTGTTTGTTGACAAGTGATTCCCTTAACGCAGCGAATGGCAGGTAAAACCGGGCGCCCAGCCAACAATGCACACCAGCGTTAACGGCTAATGGAATGCCATTGCACGCCTGACACCGGCTTTTCCGGCAACACGCATCCATCTCGCTTTTTACGCAGGCACTTGTTTGTTGCCGTGTGTGTTACACCGAATATACGCGCAATCTATCGCTGTCACCTGATCGAGCGCGTCGATGCTTTTCCGCTCGTGTCGATTTTAACGCTCTGACGGCGCACATTTGTTCTTTAGAAAAGCCACGACGAAAGCGTAGGAATACAAAAAAAAGTGGGGGCTTTCGCTTTAAGGCGGATTACGCAAATATACGCTGTACTGTTCGAACCCGGTGCTGGCGATTTATGCGCACTGGATATGTTCCTATTTTGCACACTGCTTGTTGATTTTATTATTCAATTAAAGCTCACATGATCTTTAAAATTACAGGAAGAAATATAGTAATTTTGATAATATTCTAACATAAAAACTGTTTATTAATATTATTTGTTTATTGTTTTACATTATTTTTTTATAATTTTTATTGCTAGTAATTTATTTCATATTATTTAAATTACTTTATATAGATTTGTAACATATAATATTAAATTTTATTAAACTGCGGATGCTAGTAAAAAACACTTTATGTCATCTTAAATCTTGAGAGGAGTGAATTTGTCATTGCGGTAAACGTAGTGTAGTGGCACTCGTTCATATCGCAACTTTCCCGTTAAATACGTGCTATCTGTACCTTTACGACAGAAATTACTGGACAAGCTTGTACACGTTTTAAGACCTAAATTGCACCGGCGAAAAACATACTCCATCGCGTAATACCGTGATGTGATGAGAAAACAAAAAAAAAGAATCGGGTTACGTCGCCGGTGTCAGAAGAGCGTGAAACGGCGGTGACATCACGTAACTGCCTGCTGACCAGCGGGAGGCGGGGCCGCGTCCGCTGATTAGCTGACCCTGCTGACTGGCGTGTTAATCGTTAATACGGTTAAATAAAATCAGTGTATCGGCTTTGGCAGCGGGGATGTTGCGTGCCCATCGCGATCTGACCTGACGACCTTAATTGCGCATGTGGAGCGCTCTCGCTGCATCAACCTAAGATCATGGCCAGCCCGGTCACGCCGCTCACCGTTTTGGCCGACGCGAGAGCGATCAAGGTGCCATCTTTATACCGCATTCATCATAAAAATATATATCGTCTACTAACGCAAAAAGCAGCGGACTGACCGCATTCCATCGCCTGACCCCTCGATTTCGATAAACCGGTTTCGAGCGGCAGTGATTTTCAGCGAGTGAATATGTTGCTAGCGCACACCGCGATCATCAGAACGTGCTGTACCGGCTTTCTCAGCAGTAAAACGCATTTTGCGGCTGGTCAACACATATGGCACGAACGAGTCATAATACTCCCGCAGCGACACGCATTCCTTTCCCTCAACCGGCGAGAAAAATGCAGCCGCGAAAAAAAATCTCTGACAAATTTTTGACAAGGAGTGTATACTGTATACTGCACGATACAAATAATAATATTTACGAAACGGTAAACACGCTTGGCAAGCGCCGTGATTGGTGTAATCAGCGCTTAGCACGTTGCAGCTTCATTACATATTCGCTTTTCCAGCTACGGCATGCAGTCGCATTCCGTTCTCGTCTTTTCTTAGGAGATCAGAAACCGGTCGACAATGTGCTCAAAGAATGCGTTTGATTCACGACTGGTTTTTCCATACCAGGAAACATAATTGCTAGCTTACAATTTGTCACTGAAAAATCCGGGCGCGATTTGCTGAACCAGTTAATCTTCCTACAGGGCTGATTTTTTCGAGTAATTTTGCAAAATGATTTAATTCCTTAATTGCTGGCGTTATTCAGCTTTTATGGAGATTGGCCGATTTCTTGCAGTCAACGCTGAATTTAAAAAACCCTGGTTTTCCGCGGAAAACATGATTATTGAGCCTTGCAGCCAAAAAAAATAAATTACCGGGTTATTTAATAAATTCATTCAGCGATTGAAATTATTTTTTATTCTCTCGCTGTAAATAAATTTTATTAAATCAAGTATTATATTGCACAATACGTGTGTCTAGTGAATCATTTGTTGTTTATTCGGATCGTGAGTCGATGAAGAGCGCAGCAAAATGCGAGACGCGACGTGAATTGCAGCTTCTTTATTTGACAGTCAATAAATTTTGACTGACTTAGTATTATATTACTGAATAAATTTTTTCGAAGAAATAAATTATTTACTATTTTTTGCAGGCAATAAATTGAATTAAGTAGCACAAATTGTGAAGGATGTTTACTATTCAAAAGGATACAAAAAGCGTCGAATGATGCAATTAATCGGTGGAACGAACTGGGTTGATGCGATTAGCGAGTACAACACGCACACGACGGCATTTTCCCAAGTATCACGCACACTGGGAACGCGTCACCTCCGAACGGAATCCGCCGCAGCAGAGAACAACAGGATCACCTGTTATTCACACTGTTTACCGGCACTCGCCCGTCCCTGTTTTCCGCACTGAGCGTTTCGCTGCGTAATTGCTGGAGTAATCAAACGCTTTGCCTGCATTTCACGCGCGACTACACCCGGCATTTTTTCTCTCGCTCTCTGTTATACAGCACACAACAGCCACTCTAAAACGATTAAGGCGCTAACCCAGTCGCGCGCTGGACCATGGCGGTAAATTAATCATATTTACTGCCGGATCACGAAAGCCCTGTCATCGCTACAAAAAACCCTCTACTGCATATCACCGCTGCAAAAAAAAAATTACCGAAGATATACCGCTAAGCAGAAATTCGCCGCGGCTCGCAGTTGTCAATGGTCTAAGCAAACGGGGGACTTATGTAAGCGCGGCACACAAGTGTCAGGTCTACTGATGGCCTGCACATTCCTCAACGACACTCGGCGCTGCTGATCGGCTGCCAGAACAGCATTCCGCAGCGCCTTAAAACGCTAAAAGAGAAAACGCTGCGCAAGCCTATTGCCGACCTGTTTGCCGCGGCTGACAAGTGGCTAATCCACTGCCTGCGCTGAACGCACAGCCTGACCGTTGAATAAGTGGATTTAGATCAGCTGTTTATTTGAGAATGCCTCATCGGAAGATCGGATTGTGCCGACGCATCAGCAGCGACATAATAGCGAGACTCACGGGGGGAAAAACAATCGCAATGTTACGGAGAAAGTCCCCGGGAATGCGGGAATCAACCCAGGTTAATGATTGATCCGATCGATCGATCGGATCGAAGTTACCACAACATTTACCTGAACGACGCGGATCGCATACAAGCGTCCCGGTGTTTGTCTTGCGCTGACAGGAACCACCGTCAACACGCACACAAACACACACGGGAAGGTACACAGTTAAACACACGCCGGTATCCGCTCAATACCGCGGCTTATGTAAGCCCGTTACGTAAAGCAACCACCAGCACATATATTTTCCCAAGCATTGCACTGTGCTGGGAAAATGCTACGCCTCACTAAAATTTAATTACCAATATGGGAATTTAATTATGCGTTTTTTGTAACTATGGTTGACGTTTGGATTTGTGGTTAGACAGAGTGGAAAGGGCGGAGAAATAAGAGTTAGAGAAGACCACCACCGCCACCAAGGGAAACCGTACACCGTGTAAGCAGTGAGCCGCAGCCGTTATGTATCGGAATTCACTTACCAGCTCGACCAGCTTGAGGATCCCGGGGATCTTGCCAAAGTAGTTGACATTGAAGCCGGGCGTGCTGGTGATGGTGGCGTTGACGGAGTTGGTGTGGTTGCCGCGGATGATGGAGTAGTTGAGCGTCTTGGTCGTCGTGGTCACCATGATGGGGACGTTAGCGATTACCTGTAAGATTAACCGCAGCGGTCAGATTGGGACGCGGCGAGGTGACAGCGGCGCCTTACCGTGGGGAAGAGCTCAGGCAGTCAAGTGGCTGTGGTCAGGCCAACACGTTGCAGGTTCAGGTCAGTGCCGATCAAACGCCGTAATTTAATTCACTCGATCAAGAATTTTCGCCGTGCGCGGATAATAATACAACTGTATCAAGCGTGGTCTGTGTGCTCGCGTAATAAAACGATCTCGCCCAACACGTTCTAGCGCTGAATGTTAGTAAACACTTTTTCTCTCTCTTTCTCTATCGCTCGCGAAAAAGCCTCTTGTGCAAGGCAGCTTGGCGCGTAGCTTTAGAAGCCAGCCAGCCAATCAGCGCGTTGCAGGTAGTACGCAGATGGCAATCAGCGCTAAACCGGTTTTAAAATATAGCCGCTGCTGCCACTCGTACGCGCGCAGGTATGCGGTGCGCTATCCTCGTACGCCACTTGAAGGGAGGCTTTATAATAGCCGTTGAATCGATATTATTGTACCTGTCTTGGCACTCGTACGCACTGAAGTATGCTGTGCGATGCATGCGTACGCCACTTAATCACCGCTTAGCAAAGCCGATTTAGCCGATCTACCTGTCTTTCAGTACGAGCGCTGACGCATCAGTACGCGCCGCGGCCAACACAAACACAGCGCAGCGTGACTTTCCGCTGTTACCGCGAAATTCCCCTCTCTTGTTGTTGTTCCCCAGCAGCATATTCTAGCACAGAGATCTTGTAGCCATATTTTTATTGTGGCGGAGGCGGTGCTCGACTGCCGAGAAAACCAGTCGAGCCACTATTCCAGCGCTCACACCGGTGTTGCACAATCAATAATACTCGTATAGAGTGATGTGATAATGTCATTCACGTATCGACAATTTTTCTCCGTTGTTAATCGTGTTTCTATGCTGCAGCTTGGCCCATCTTGTACGACCGCCATCACTGCCGGTACAAATTTGATATAGCATTACGGCGTTCGTCGGCTGACGAATGCCCCTGATCATGACCTCTAACCAAGGGATCCGCCGCTCCGATGTCTGTACACGTCACGAGCCATGAGCGGCACGAATACCAAATTTTAGTGCGCGGTTTACAGAAATACAGATGCATGGGTTACGCTAAGCTGCAAACCACGTCCCGCCACACCACACTCTTTACGCAGTACGTGCATTTGGCATTGCTGATGCACGTCAAACATCTATTCTATATGTGTCGTACTAGCGGTGATTGCGAACCACATTATTGCACGAGCGCGAGCCCCGGTACCACTGGGAAATGGTATTGGGATTGTGGAATTGGAAAAGCGTGACGTACGCTCTTTGTGGCGTCAGACAAATTTTATGCTCTTGACGAAGACTTATTGCAGCACCTCGCGCTTCGCGCTCGGAGCAAAAAATCGACGATTTTTGCAGTCGAATTTGTTGAGCCTAAAATGAACCTATTATTGCCAGAATTGTTGATTTCTAAACGCCAACCTCGCGCTTAATATATATGTACTACGTGTGCCTTTATACATGAAAATTTTCACCCCGCTTTTATACGACGTCGCAAATTAGGTATAGTTTAAGCAGCGACTATCTATCTAAATACAAAGTGGAAATGCGATATGTGTAAGGAGAGCAATCCCTCTGCATTATAGCATGGAGGAAGTGTTTTTGCTATGAATTTTGTTTTTGGAATTTAGTTTGTATCCGACATACTGTATTATGATACTTATTAAAGGCACTAACCCGTACCGTGTTTACACTTTGCACAATTACTAAGTAATAGATTATTATCGCCCAACAGTCGCGATATACGGTCCGGTATACGATACGGTGGGACACCGTATCGTGACCGTACCGTTGTTAAGTTGGAGTGATCGCAACGCGCAGACGGTAAACGATACGGTCCAATCCTGCCTCTGACGTGAAACATGCTGCGGTTCAAATCGGTTTTAAGACTTTGAAAGATGGTAACAATCGTTCAGTCGAAAACTCGATGAAAATTAAAATGCTTAACTATTTTTCGATACCAAAACGGCCAGATTTAACAGCCCATGAATCTTTCTACGAGCATTTAAATTTTAACACAGACGCGTATGGAGTTTAAATAACAGCTCGCGCAGAGTACTCCAACGGCTCCGTAAGCTTTGCATGCTAAATTCACATGGCTGCAGAATAGTTCGTTTTCGGATAAACTGCACTCGCTTGGTATCAAAAAATTCCTTAGAATTTTATCTTTCTTCTAATATCCTTTTCTGACGAATCAAGAACAATTAAAATCTACCAGAACAATTTTAAAGTTGTATGATTTGGCAGCTGCACACGTTGTGCTTCATGCCACTGCCACTAAGGGTGGTTGCTATATCGCAGATGTCAACGGTATGGTATTACGATATCTCAGCCTTCTACCGTCAATCCTACCGTCAAACGGTCCGGTAAGGGTACGCCGTGATGACGTAGAAGAGCCTACCGTCTATCATAGGTCCATTTTGTGTTGCGATAAGAATCTAATAAGCTGCAATGGCGCGTTCCCTTAAACTTTAAAGGTACTAACAAGTAACTGCCGTCCGTTCAAGCCGGCAATGCTTCAGCCTTCAGCTGATCCAGTAAGTATGTATGATACCATGAGGTGAGTAGTCTGCGCTCGCAGCTCCGCATTAACAGCCGGCATGCTGTTTCATTAATAATATTGGGCGTTAACAACCACGATTACTGCAAAATGCTGGTTACGTATGCGGCATCCCGTAAATCATGGACTTCCTTATCCAGCTGAAATCGAAGTGCTATTATTAATATTCGGATTCCCTTTAATTCTCTTAATGAGTTAACTTGATTCCAAATTTTTGTTGGCATGCATGATCAAATGAAAAGAATACGATGCGATCTAATCTTTATTAATTGGTTTCCTTTGTGTTCAACAACAATGATTACACACTACGGTTACAAGTTCCAAAAACAACCAAAATCATTCCCTTCCCCAAATTTACTTCTGCCCGGCAAAGTGCCTAAAACTGCGGCAGCGTTTCACTTCATTATCGCCAGACTGATGTGATGCGATAATGCGATAAAATGAACAGACTGATGTGATGCGATCTGTTCATTTTATCATAAATTGTGAGTTAGCCCTGCCATGAATCATGCCAGGAGAAGCTCCAAGGAAATTGCATAAAAAGCTTGCTACATAAACGGAGAATGAAGCCGGGCGTGCTGCTGACGGTGGCGTTGCTGGAGTCGTCACAATGGTGTGGTTGCCGCAGAAGAGGGGGTAGTGGAGCGTCTGGATCGCCGTGGTCACCGTCATGGACACGGCGGCGATGGGTCACACTGAACGACGTGACTGCCCATTAACCGTTCAGTGCGACCCATCACCGCCGTGAACGATCGCACACGTTGGTGATGTGACGGTGGCAGTAATAAAGCATTCCCTGGTGGCCTGGTCAATCTCTCCCAATTACGTATCGCGTTAAGTGAAGAAAAGAAATATAAAAATAATAAAAATATGAAGTTAAAAATTTAAGAAGAAAAAATATACAGTAAATCAATAATGACTTTACGAAACATAAAAAGCTGAAGAGTTGAGGTCGATCCTGTATTTTTTTCGTAAACACGTGCAGAGAAACCAATTCCCGTAGCGACTGCTTACTGCCACGATGCCGTAGCGAATTCGGTGAGATCATTCAGTGAGATCCGGTCAGTCTGATCGCTGATCGATATAAGATGCGGCCAAACTTTTTGGACGTATTTTATATCGTTTAGCGGTCGGAAACGGAAAGAGGAGTTCAGCTGTATTTTATGGTCATAGCGAGGTTCGAGCGATGAGGTCGGCGCAAACGGCCCCAAAATGGCTGCGGACCCCCCAAAAAACAATTGCGCCCGTCAATTCGTCCCGGTTAGTTCTATGGCATAAAAACGTTCTCAACCAGGGAGAGGGTGCGCGCGCCCGTGCGCTTTCCGCCCCCCGATACGGCCTGGAAGCCTTCCAATCAACAGCCCCACCCCCTCCCCCAGATCGTGGCAAAGCTAGCACCGCCAATGATAACCTCATAAACGGCAGCACAGTACAAACGCTGTTTTCATTTATTCTTTCTAACCACCTTATTAACAGTCTTATAGTTATGTATAACTACTTTGTATTACTATTATATCATCTTATAATTACCTGTCTGTTATGGCTAACTTAGTCCTGTAATTCATTGTGTTATCGTTCTTATACTGGAGTACATATTCTTCTAATTGCTCGTTCTCTTTCCCTTACACTGGCTGACCTTTAGTGTTTGACTTTGAATTTGATTTTGAACTTATTTGACCCACCCATTTCAGGCTTCCTCGAGTGATAGTCTGCAATAGAATCTTCAATTAAAATTTTTTTTATTATGTTTACGGTTAGCTCCTGGTTTGAATTTGTTATTGTGTACCTTTCCTCATTATTTCACTCGATCTTTACTTCTTTCACCGAAGACTTTGCTGCAACTTTCATATACAGATATACTGTACACATTCCTTAAAAAATTACTAGTACCTTGCGAAAAACTGAAATCTTCACTACGTACTCGTACATTCCAAGTACAATACCTTAATGACAGTCAGTTCTCCTTTCCCCTCCTCTTCGTATCTTCAGTCGCCATGGAGTCAGCGCATTACAGTATTAAATTTTGTGCAATTATCGACATATTGCAATACCCATACCACAAATCTGCTTTGAGTTAACGGTCTACGATTTAAATCTAGGTTTTATTTTGTAAATTCCAATGTGCAAAAAGCGAAGCGGAATTATACCACAAGTTCTTAGTACGATAATTGTCATAAAAGGTTCATGAATGCAAGTGGGAGTTCATTAAGTTTCGAAAGAAATTGCTAGAATTGATTTCCGTGAAGCTGACTACGTTTTCTCGTGGGTGAAGCCCTTGGTAGATAAAAGAAGCGAGGTACAATATTCGAATAGTAGCCAAAATATGGAGTGATCAAACTGTTCCTGTACAATATCAGCATTGCTTGCGCACATAATCTGGGTAATTCCGTTCCAAGATTGTAAAGCGGTAACGCACCTTTGCTTGTGTAGTTGGCCGACGTTGCCTTCCGGTGCTGTGGATTACCGTTAGTCGGGAAACGACTTCGCTTGAGGGTTGCTGCCAGTGCTTACGTTGCGCCGTCAAAGCCACCTGTCGCACTGAAAATCTCCACCTAACTGTACAGTAAGTCAGCTTTTATAAGCCATCACGGTTTGCATTGTAGACAGTCCGCAGCCTAAGCAATCGCTGTATTAGCACTGGTATAGCAAGTGCAATTCTCCACACTGCAAAACCTGATCAATTT